ATGCCTCTCTTCCTCCTGTGAGCATGTATCAGTCATCTAAAAGCATTTTGGGGTCTGTCATGACAGTGTCCCAACAAGTTGGTGTTTCTCTGATAGGTGAGATGATGGAGGGATTCTCCAAGGGAATGGGCATGGAGGCAAAGCGTATCTAGAGGGGGTGAGTGATTTGCTAAACCACACACATGTTGAGGAGTGATGGAGATTCTCAGCTAGTATTCTCAACTCCCCCCCTTAGTCATTCTGATGCAAGAAGGTCTTGACTAGGCTAAGGTTTACAGTCTGCCACAATGGGGGCAACTGGTCATTTCTTCTCTCTTTTGTTTGAGGGCAGAGCAGGAATCTAGGAAGAGCTAGTTTTGAGGGACTTTCAAGTAAAGGATCCTCCTTGATGTGGTTTGAAACATTGCCGCTGTGTGTTTGGATAAGGCTAAATTAGCCCTCCATAAAGACTGGGAATGAAGAGATGTCTAAATATAACTTGTGGGACACAGACTGAGAAAAGCCTGTGGGTACAGTGGAAGAACCCAGCCCAAGGTATAAGACAGCAGGAAAATCAAATCCAACTCTCTTCGCCACTTTCCAGCTTAGGGTATTTTTTTTTTTTTTTCTTGAGACAGTCTTGCTCTGCCACCCAAGCTGGAGTGCAATGTCGCGAACTCAGCTCACTGCAACCTCCACTGCCCAGGTTCAAGCAATTCTCCTGCCTCAGCCTCCCGAGTAGCTGGGATTACAGGTGCCCGCCATCACACCTGGCTGACTTTTGTGTTTTCAGTAGAGACGGAGTTTCACTATGTTGGCCAGGCTTGTCTTGAATTCCTAACCTCAAGTGATCCACCCACCTTGGACTCCCAAAGTGCTGGGATTACAGGCGTGAGCCACGGTGCCTGGCCCCAGCTTGGGGTATTTTTTAAAGATAGAGAAAAAACACAGCAGTAGGTTGGGGGTTATTATTCTCATTGGCTGTGGTAGATGAGGTATTTTTAGGCCTCACCCAACTCATCTGTAAAAAATAAGTTAATGTTTTTTGAATGCCTGCTACTGGGACCGAGGGTTAGACATAGCTCATCTCAGTGTCCTCTATCACCCTACAAGGAGAGAATACCATTTACAGATGGGGGCCCAAAAAGATCACTGTGCTGGCCCAAAGTTACACAGCTGATAAGTGGCAGGGCAGAGGCCTCATTGTGTCTCCCAGTACAAAAATAGAAGTCTCTTCCTGCATTACAGAATTGTGAGAATGAGAAGACAATGAACTGGAAAGCACATCTTAAGACACAAAGTGCTCCACGAATATAAAGAATGATCCCGTCTGTTGTGAGACAGCCCTGGCAGTTATGAAAGCACGTGTGGTTTTGTCAGAGGCATTTGAACCACAGCGACTCCATCTTGAATAGGGGCTGGGTAGAATGAGGCAAGAGCTACTGGGCTGCATTCCCAGATGGCTAAGGCATTCTAAGATTCTAAGTCACAGGATGAGATAGGAGGTTGGCACAAGATATGGGTCATAAAGACCTTGCTGGCTGGGTGCGTTGGCTCATGCCTGTAATCCCAGCACTTTGGGAGGCCAAGGTGGGCGGATCGCCTGAGGTCAGGAGTTTGAAACCAGCCTGGTCAACATGGCAAAACCCATCTCTACTGAAAATACAAAAATTAGCCAGGCGTGGTGGCAGATGCTTGTAACCCCAGCTACTTGGGAGGCCGAGGCAGGAGAATTGCTTGAACCTAGTAGGCAGAGGTTGCAGTGAGCCGAGATGGGGCCACTGCACTCCAGCCTGGGTGACAGAGCGGGACTCCATCTCAGCAGGAAAAAAAAAAAAAAAGACCTTGCTGATAAAATAGGTTGCAGTAAAGAAGCCCGCCAAAATCCACCAAAACCAAGACGGCCATGAGAGTGAACTCTGGTTGTCCTCAGTGCTACACTCCCACTGGTGCCATGACAGTTTACAAATACCATGGCAACGTCAGGAAGTTACCCTATATGGTCTAAAAAGGGGAGGCACGAATAATCTACTCCTTGTTTAGCATATCATCAAGAAATAACCATAAAAATGGGCAGCCAGCAGCGCTCGGGGCTGCACTGTCTGTAGAGTAGCCATTCTTTTATTCCTTTATTTTCCTAATAAACTCGCTTTCACTTTACAGACTCGCCCCAATTTCCTTCTTGCACGAGATCCAAGAATACTCTCTTGAGGTTTGGATCAAGACCTCTTTCCAGTAACAGTCTGACCCAGAAGCATGGAGCCACCTGAAGGACCCTTGGAAATGTAGCCCTGATGGGTGACCCACAGGACGGAGTCTCACTGGAGAAAACAAAACTGTGTAGAGACCAGGAGAGCCACCCAAGCGCCTGCAGTGAAGCAATTTTAGAAACAGACATAGAGAAGGGCCCAAGAGAAGTGGGATCAAACCAGGTCTCTGGGCATTTCTGCCCCTTTCAGATGCCATAGAAGAAAATGCCATTGTGTGTATGTGTGTAGGGAGTGTGGGTGAAGTCTGGAGCTGCCAGGCGGCCAGTGTCTGGCAAGGTTGTTCAGGTGATTTGTGGAGCCAATGGGTGGGAGCCCCACACTCTGGGCCCGTAGAGAGCAGCTTTTATTAGAAACCTTCCATTTTTCTGGCATTTCCCTAATGTAGCCAAGCCACTCTTGGCGCGCGCGCGCGCGCACACACACACACACACACACACACACACACACACACTTCTAGATGTTCTTAGCCCCAGAGTGGATTTGATTTGAGGTAGGATAGTGGGGTGTTGGAGAAAGGGCACGGGGCTGGGAGACACAAACGTGGGCTCCAATGAGTCAGCCCCCATCTCCGGACCTCGGTTTCCTCATCAGCAAAGCGCACAGGGTGGACCCATGAGCTCTTAGACCCCGCTGAGCCACAGGATGTCAGATCCTGTGATTCTCCGATTGGCTCTTAAGGAGCAAGGGAACTGTCAGCCCCGGACGGAGGCGTCGCTCTCAGACCCCAGCTGAGGCAGCGGAGGGGACGCCCAGCTGAAGTCGTCGGAGCCCCATCCCCCGCTGGGGCCCCCAGGTTGCCGACTCTCAAGTGCCCGCGCTCCAGCGAGCGAGTGTCAGGAGCCGACGCAGAAGGCGCCCTCCTACGGCGAGCAGCGAGCAGGGCCCTGCGGGGCACAGTGCTCGGGGCGCCCGGGGACTGGACGTGGCGCCTGCCGAGGCGTGGCCGGGGTTGGGTGGGGGCTGCCGCCGGGCGCCGGGTCCCCGCCGTGGGGCGACTCGTCCTTCCTGAACGTGCCACGCTCCGCGGTCGCTCGACCACAAACAAGGAAGCTTGGGGGACGCCCGGCGGGCGCCGAGGCCAGTGCGAGGCCGGGGCTCCGCGGGGAGGGCGGCCGGGGCAGCCTCGTGGGCCGGGACGGGACGCGAGGGCGGCATTGCTCTGCTCACTCAGCGGCCCGGCCCCCACCCCCGACGTCTGAATAGCTGCTGTGTCCCGGCGGATCCGATTGTTTCACTCCGAGACTGGCTGGCTCTGTGGAATTTCCAGACACCCCTGTGGGACAGGTCCCGGGGGCGGGGGAGGAATCTGTTTTCCGGAAAAGCCAGGCACCAATCCTCGTTGCCTCTCCTCGTTTGATCCTCTTAGGCCGCACTGGCCTACGGGTTTGGCAGGAACAATGCCCCATCTTACAGATAGCGAAACTGAGGGGAGATACGTCCAGCAGAAAGGAGAGGAGAATTCCCACCCGCCCGCAGTCCGGGCCTGGAACGCCCTCGGTTGCTGGGCTCAGAATGTGACAGGCCCGTCGCCCTCTTTCTCTGGCTGCAGCCTCTGCTAAGGGGTTGGCAGGTGTCAAGGATCTCCAGCGCACGGGGGAGGGAGACCCTGGATCCTGTTCTGGGCTCCCCTGGCTTCCTTTTGAGAGGTGACTCCACCCTCCCCTTCCTGCCTTTTTCCCCTACCCCTCAGGTCACAGGCCTGGGTGACAAAAAAAAAAAAAAACGAGGGCTCTAGTCCTGGCAGGGCCACAGCTTCCACTGAGATCTCCATTTCCTCGCTGCATCCCGTCGGTGCTGGAGGCTAAGGACCAGCACTCCTGTTTTCTCATTAATAAAGCTAACTAAGGCCCCACGCAGTGGCTCACGCCTATAATCCCAGCACTTTGGGAAACTGAGGTGGGTGGATCACCTGGAGTCAGGAGTTCAAGACCAGCCTGGCCAACATGGTGAACCCCATCTTTACTGAAAATACAAAAATTAGCTGGATATGGTGATGCACGTCTGTAGTTACCACTACTTGGGAGGCTGAGGCAGGAGGATCGCTTGAACCTGGGAGGCAGAGATTGCAGTGAGCCAGGAAGGCCACTGCACTCCAGCCTGGGTGACAGAGCGAGACTCTGTCTCAAAAAAATAAAAAAATAATAAATCTAACTAAAGGCCACTGAGTGTTCCAATTTGTGTACCTTGGGCAAGCCCATTCCCCATCCTGGGCCTCAGTTTCCCCATTTATATCACGAATATTCTGGGATTCTCATTCAAATACATCCTCTGCAGGCAACAGCCTGCCAGAGGGAGTTAACTTTTTTCTTTTGCTGTATTACTCACCTCCCCAGCACCTGTGTACACAGTAGACACACAGTAAAAGGTTAACAAAGTATAATAGGGCCTGGTGCGGTGACTCATATTTGTAATCCCAGCACTTTGGGAGGCTGAGGTGGGTGGATCACTTGAGATCAGGAGTTCGAGACCAGCTTGGCCAACGTGGTGAAACCCCATCTCTACTAAAAATACAAAAAAAAATTAGCCAGGCATGGTGTCAGGTGCCTCTACAGTTCCAGCTACTCAGGAGGCTGAGGCGGGAGAATTGCTTGAACCCGGAAGGCGGAGGTTGCAGTGAGACGAGATCACACCACTGCACTCCAGCCTGGGCGACAGAATGAGACTGTGTCTCAAAATAATAAAATAAGTATAATGGTATCTTTTCTTGCCCCCCTTTGTCAACAAATTCCTAATGGTGACCAAAAACAAGGAGAGAAAAATAAGCGGTTTATCAGCCGTATTTTCTCTGCATCACCGCAGTGATTGGAGTTGACTCCCACTTCCTGAAGCTGGGGGGAGGGCAGCAGAAATTTTTTCACTCAGAAGCTCGGTTTGGGCCTGGCACAGTGGCTCGTGCCTATAATCCTGGTACTTTGAGAAGCCAAGGCAGGAGCATTGTTTGAACCCAGGAGTTTGAGACCAGCCTAGGCAACATAGTGAAACCTGTCTCTAAGAAATAAAAAATAATAATTAGCTGGGCGTGGTGGTGCCTGCCTGTGGTACCAGCTACTAGGGAGGCTAAGGTGGGAGAATTGCTTGAGCCTGCGAGATCGAGGCTGCAGCGAGTTGTGATCATGCCATTGCACTCGGCCTGGGTGACAAGAGTGAGACCCCGACTCAAAAAAAAAAAAAAGAAAAGAAACAAAAGGCCGGGCATGGTGGCTCATGCCTCTAATCCCAGCATTTTGGGAGGTCGAGGCGGATCACCTGAGGTCAGGAGTTCGAGACCAGCCTGGCGAACATGGTGAAGCCCTGTCTCTACTAAAAATACAAAAATCGGCTGGGTGTGGTGGCACATGCCTGTAATCCCAGCTATTCAAAAGGCTGAGACAGCAAAAACGCTTGAACCCAGGAAGCAGAGCAGTGAGCCAAGATCGTGCCACTGCACTCCAGCCTGGGCAACAGAGCAAGACTCCACCTCAAAAAAAAAAAAAAAGAAGAAGAAGAAGGAAAGATGCTACGTTTGAATTTGATCTCTGCTCCTTTACAGCTTCTGGCCTCATAGCCACTTTAACCCCTTGATTCTGACATGTCCTCTGGCTCATGGGTATGTCAGAAATAATGGCACCATTTTACAGGTGCAAAACCAAAGGAATAAAGTGAAGTGGCCAATGGCACACCACAAAATACAAGATGGTAAGATGTAGACATAAGACTGCTTTCTTCATTGGTTCAATGAAGATGGTGATAACAGCAATAGAGCCTGTTTTACAGGATTGCAGGAGGCTCGGCTGCAACAGAGGGAACGCTGTTTAGAAGCTGCGAACTGGCCGGGCGCGGTGGCTCACGCCTGTAATCCCAGCACTTGGGGAGGCCAAGGCGGGCGGATCACGAGGTCAGGAGATTGAGACCATCCTGGCTAACACGGTGAAACCCCGTCTCTACTAAAAATACAAAAAATTAGCTGGGCGTGGAGGCAGGAGCCTGTAGTCCCAGCTACTCAGGAGGCTGAGGCAGGAGAATGGTGTAAACCCGGGAGGCGGAGCTTGCGGTGAGCCAAGATCACACCACTGCACTCCAGCCTAGGGGACAGAGCGGAGACTCCGTCTCAAAAAAAAGAAGCTGCGAACTGCTCGTTGTTGGTGGAGCAGTAGCCGCAGTGACACAGATGCTTGGCGAGGGGCTGGGAGTAGCCTTCCTTCCAAACGTGTTTGCCTCCAGTTCATAAACAGGGCTGGGCTGAGGCACTGGACGCACAAGGATGAACAAGACATGGTCCCTGCCTTGGCGGAATTGACACTGTGGGGGTAGGGCACAGACGAATACACAGGTAGCACAACACATCCAGGCAGTTTTTATAAGGTATACAGCCAGTGTTGTGGGAGCTCAGGCAGCCTCCTGGGTGTATTAGGTTTGTTTATTTGTGCTTTGTTTTAACATCTCTGCCATCTTCGGCAGCTCCCGTAAGAGGAACATGGACAGTTTGGGACCTGCCACCCATTAGCCAGCTTGGGTGCCACACCTGAGGGAGGGACTGATTGGGTGACACCTCCCTCTTTCCTTGAGTCTCTGGGTGACCCTGTGTGACTAGGGCTGGGCAGCAGCGCATGCAATTCCCAAAGGCCTCAGGAACAGGCCTGCGGGCTTTCCTGTGGGGCGATCAGTCCAGGGAGGTCACGGCAGGTGGTCACATATGTGGAGTTTGGTTTTTTGTTGCTGTTGGTTTTTTTGTTTGAGATGGAGTTCCACTCTTGTTGCCTAGGCTGGAGGGCAATGGTGCGATCTCCGCTCACTGCAACCTCCACCTCCCGGGTTCAAGTGATTCTCCTGCCTCAGCCTCCTGAGTAGCTGGGATTTCAGGCGCCTGCCACCATGCCCGGCTAATTTTTCGTATTTTTAGTAGAAATGGGGTTTCACCATGTTGGTCAGGCTGGTCTTGAACTCCAGACCTCAGGTGATCCACCCGCCTCGGCCTCCCAAAGTGCTGGGATTACAGGCATGAGCCACCACGCTCAGCCAAATAAATGTGCCTTTATTTATACTTGCAAATGGGTCAAAGATTCAGCATGTGGTACAAAATCCAAAAAGTACAAAAAAGAACACAGTGAAAAGTAAGTCTTCCACCTTCCTCTGCTCTCAGCTTCCCAATTCTCCTCCTCAGAGGTAAACACTCTTGTTAGTTTCTTCTCTGTCCTTCCAGAAATCAAATATTCTCTTTTAGGAATTTTTTAAAAAGCATTATTTATCAAGATGTGGTCTACAGACCCCCTGAGTCAGAATCGCCCACATCACAAACATTCAAGTTGGAGAACGCTGCTTTGAAGAATTTACCAGCTATCATCCTGTGATGGGAAGGATATTTCCAGATGGCCTTATTTCCTCGCATGATCTCGGCTCACTGCAACCTCTGCCTCCCAGGTTCCAGCGATTCTCCTGCCTCACCCTCCAGAGTAGCTGGGATTACAGGCACACACCACCACCATGCCCAGCTAATTTTTGTATTTTCAGTAGAGACGGGGTTTCACCATGTTGGCTAGGCTGGTCTTCAACTCCTGATCTCGTGATCCGGCCACCTCGGACTCTCAAAGTGCTGGGATTACAGGCTTGAGCCACCGCGGCTGGCCCAGATGACCTTATTTCTAAGAGAGGAGACTAAGACTGAACCTGGTCGAATTCATGCCAGGTCTAGAACGAGTTTCCAACACTTTCTGCCACGCTAGTGTTTTGCAGACCCTGCGTGTACGTGTGCTTGTGTGTGTGTGTGTCCTTAGGAGCAAATCCTTTCTCCAAATAAAATAATACCTGGAAACACACACACATGCAAAATAAAAGCAGAACTCCTCCTGTTGAAGTGGGGGTGGGGTGAGCAGGGGACCTCACTGAGCCTTCCTTGCCTTATTGTAGGCCCTGTGGCACCTCCTTGGGACCCAAGAGTGGAAAGACCACAGTCTCATCTTAGGTGACATCCTAGAGGTGACAGGAATTTGGTATTCAGATGGTCAAATCCAAGGTGGGAGAAGAGGAATTGGAAGTCCCACCTCAACTTCATTGCTGGGAACCGTGGATGTCCCCATTGTCCCCAGTGCCTGTTCCTCTCAGTCAGTCCCCCTCTGCATTCCTCAAGCTCATCTTAAGCTGATGAATGCAGAAAGCTGTTTGGAGCCCAAGCATCCCCAAGAAAAGAGGTGGCCTCAGCCAGGCACGGTGGCTCACACCTGTAATCCCAGCGCTTTGAGAGGCCGAGGTGGGCAGATCACTTAAGGTCAGGAGTTCAAGACCGGCCCAGCTAACATGGTGAAATCCTGTCTCTACTAAAAACACACACACAAAAAAATTAGCATGGTGGCATAGGCCTGTAATCCCAGCTACTCAGGAGGCTGAGGCAGGAGAATCGCTTGAACCTGGGAGATGGAAGTTGCAGGGAGCCAAGATCACGTCAGTGCACTCCAACCTGGGTGACAGAACAAGACTCTGTCTCAAAACAAAACAAAACAAAACAAAACAAAAAAGGCAGGGCGCGGTGACTCACGCCTGTAATCCCAGCACTTTGGGAGGCCGAGGCGGGTGAATCACAAGGTCAGGAGTTCGAGACCAGCCTGACCAACATGGTGAAACCCCACCTCTACTAAAAATACAAAAAAAATAGCTGGGCGTGGTGGCAGATGCCTGTAATCCCAGTTACTAGGGAGGCTGAGCCAGGAGAATTGCTTGAACCTGGGAGGCAGAGGTTGCAGTGAGCTGAGATTGTGCCACAGCACTCTAGCCCAGACAACAGTGAGAGACTCCGTCTCAAAAAAAAAAAAAAAAAAAAAAGGTGGACTCATTTGAGCATTCACATTCCTGACCACCTTAAGTGTATTTATCAAGACTGCTAATGTGCCCAGCACTATAAACTCCAAGAAATCTAAAACTAGTCCTCACTCGCCAGTTACTCTCAATTTAGCTGGAGAGAGAAGATATAAAAAGAAGTGATAATGACCAGGCACGGTGGCTCACACCTGTAATCCCAGCACTTTGAGAGGCCACGGCAGGAGGATCTCTTGAGCCCGGAAGTTTGAGACCAGTCCTGGCAACCTAGTGAGACCCCATCTCTGAAAAAAGTAAAAGAATTAGCCTGGCATGGTAGTGCATGCCCGTGGTCCCAGCTACTTGGAAGGCTGAGATGGGAAGACTGCAGGAGCCCAGGCGGTCGAGGCTGCAGTGAGCTGAGATGGCGCCATTGCACTCCAGCCTGGGCAACAAGAGCAAAACTCCATCTCAAAAATAAGTAAATAAATAAATAAAAAGAAAGTGAAGTGATAGTGACATTAAGCAGGTGTGTGCTGACTGCCAAGTGAGGGGTACAGGCAAGTGGGCAGATGGGCAGGCAGGTGTCTCCAGGGATGTGAGGAAGTGCGAGATCAGTTTAGGGGGAAAGGCCAGAGCTGGGCAGAAAGAAATTGCAGGCAACACTGCCTTCCAGGGAAAGCCTGGCCACTCTGAGATGCGATCAGAGCTGAAGAAGCAGTCAGTTGGGCCCTAAAGCCCTGAACTCTTTTTTTTTTTTTTTTTTTAAGACAAGGTCTTACTGTGCTATGTAGTGACAGGATCACAGCTCACTGCAACCTCAAATGGCTGGACTCAAGTGATCTTTCTACCTTAGCCTCCCGAGTAGCTGGGATTACAGGTGCATGCCACCACGCCTGACTAATTTTCGTATTTTTTTGTAGAGATGGGGTATTGCTGTATTGCCCAGGCTGGTCTTGAACTCTTGGGCTCAAGTAATTCACCTGCCTTGGCCTCCCAAAGTGCTGGGATTACAGGCATGAGCCACCTTGCCCGGCCAGAGTTGAAGATTTTTACAGCTGACTTCCATCCTTCAAACTCGCTTCACCATAAATCACAACGCTATCCTTTGAGTGGCTCCACGTGGCTCACGCCACTGCAGCTGCACGCTGGCCTCCTAACTGCTGTTTGAACACACCGAGACTACTCCCACCTGAGTACTTGCTGGTCTCTCTGCTGGAAGGCTGTTCCCCAAGGTATCTGCATGGCTGGATCCCTCATTTCTTTCCTTCACTGGGCTCAACACCTGATCAGAGAGGCATCCTCCAACTGCCTTGTGTTAAACAGCATCCTTCCCGCTCTCAACATGCCTTCCCTGCTTTATGTTCTTCATAGCATCTATCATCATATGGCATTCTATATATTTACCTGTTGGCTGCCGCTCCCATTAAATGTGAGTTCCATGTGGGCAACACTGTTTGTGCCCCTGGTGCCTAGAACAGCACCAGACACATAGTAGGTATTACAACATAAACATTCATTGAATAAGTCAGTACATGAGTAACTTCCTCTCTCTTCTTTTTTCTTTCTCATCCCCGTGATTGCCAGGAGAGAGTGACTCCCTCTCAATGATTCTCACAGAATCCTCTCTAGGATGGAGGGGGGTGCTCACGTTGGCCTGGAGCTTTGATCTCATGGACAGCAGAGGTCCTGGTGCAACTTTACCATGCCACAGCAGATGTAGCAGTGCAATTGTAAATCTCACCAGAAGGTGACAGTTGCCAAGGTGACAGCTTCTCAGGGTACCTGATAAGGAACCGGGTGGAGAGGAGACCTAGGCTTGGAAAGGGAGCACCATAGGAGTTGGTGGGAGCAGGTGAAAGGCTTGGTTTCTTGCTCCCTGCCTGGTGCCTGGTGACTGCAGACACTGAGTCAGGGACCAAGGGGAGGAGGGAGGCAGTCATCGTCATGACGGGAGCATCAGTGAAACTGCTGGCCTGGTGTCCCCTCCTGGTCCTGGACTCCATGTCCTTTACCTGTCCTTGGCACCCCAGATGAGTCAGCAAGATCCAGCCTCTGAGGTTCATTGCAGCACTTCCCCTGGGGGCAGATTAGAGGATGTTGCATGATATTAAGTAATACATCTGGAGCAGGCGCAGTGGCTCATGCCTATAATCTTAGCACTTTGGGAGGTCGAGGCAGGTGGATCACCTGAGGTCAGGAGTTTGAGACCAGCCTGGCCAACATGTTGAAACTCTGTCTCTACTAAAAATACAAAAATTGACCAGCTTGGCCAGCATGGTGAAACCCTGTCTCTACTAAAAATACAAAAATTAGCCGTGTGTGGTGGCGCATGCCTGTAATCCCAGCTACTCGGGAAGCTGATGCAGGAGAATCGCTTGAACCCGGGAGGCGGAGGTTGCGGTGAGCAGAGATCGCGCCATTGCACTCCAGCCTGGGCAACAGACCGAGACTCTGTCTCAAAAAAAAAAAAAAAAGAAAATTAACCAGATGTGGTGGTGCATGCCTGTAATCCCAGCTACTCAGGAGGCTGAGGCAAGAGAATCTCTTGAACCTGGAAGGCGAAGGTTGCAGCGAGCCGAGATTGTGCTGCAACACTCCAGCCTGGGCAACAGGGCCAGGCTCCGTCTCAAAAAAAAGAAAAAGAAAAAGAAAAAAAAAGGTAATACATCTGGGAGGGAAGGAGGCTGGGAAAGCCAGCAGCAGCCTGGGGACAAGGGTCATCTGGACTGAACCTGTCTCTGTATGCAACCCTACAGTCCAGGAAACAGGTGGGGCTGGGAACTCAGGGAGAGGCGGGGCTTCCCTAGCCTCAGCTGAAAATCAGCATTTTAGCTACAAGCAGGTGAAAAAAGACAGTTTCAAAGCAGCAAATCCTCATAGAAAATGAATGTAGGCGTGCCTTGCTTTAAGCCACTCCTTATAGAAAAACTGAATCTCTCCCAGGAGTAAACAATAAAGGGGGTAATTCTTCATTTGAAAAAGGGATGCTCCTTGGAGACATAGGTGAGTATCCCTTGTGAACTGGAACTGCCTTTATAAATATTCAGCTTCCTCATAACTTGAAATGTTATACTTCCTGATTTATAAAACTACCTTCAAATACAGGAATACTTTCGCACATATATAATCTCATCAGATTCTCTCTCTGTTTTTTTTTTTTTTTGAGTCTCACTCTGTTGCCCAGGCTGGAATGCAGTTGCGCAATCTTGGCTCACTGCAACCTCCACCTCCCTGGGTTCAAGCAATTCTCCTGCCTCAGTCTCCCAAGTAACTGGGATTATAGGCGTGCACGCCATCACACCCTGCTAATTTTTGTATTTTTACTAGAGATGAGATTTTACCATGTTGGCCAGGCTGGTCTGGAACTCCTGACCTCAAGTGATCCACCCGCCTCAGCCTCCCAAAGTGCTGGGATTACAGGTGTGAGTCACTGAACCCAGCTGATAATCTCATCAGATTATCAAAGGAACCTGTGAGGGATCTATCATTATACCCCCTCCCCTGCTTTTTTTTTTTTTTTTTTTTTTTTTTTTTTTAGAGACAGGGTCTTGCTCTGTTGCCCAGGTTGGAGCTTTTTGTTTATTTTAGAGACAGGGTCTTGCTCTGTTGCCCAGGCTGGAGTGCAGTGGTGCAACCTCAGCTTACTGCAGCCTAGACCTCAAGAGATCCTCCTGCCTCAGTCTCCTGGGACTACAGGCGTGCACCACCACACCTGGCTAATTTTTAAAATTTTTGGTAGAGATGGGGTCTCGCCATGTTGCCCAGGCTGGTCTCAAACTCCTAGGCTCAAGCAATCCTCCCGCCTCAGCCTCCCAAAGTGCTGGGATGACAGGCGTGAGCCACCGCACCTGGCCAATTATCTCCATTTTGCGAGCAAGGAAACAGGCTTAGAGTGGATAAGTCACACAGTTCAGGCAGGCCTTCAGGCTTGAAGCACTTCCCAGCATATCACACCTGTCCCCATGTGATTCCAACACAGCTCTTGGGGGGCTGGTACAGAGCAACAGACTATGATCCCATGTGAGAGATGAGAAAACTGAGCCCCAGGGAGGAGAAGGGCTCCAAATAGATTCCCTGACTGAGTCTAGGCTCTAGGGTCAGACACACCCAGGTTCAAGTCCTAGGTCTACCACTCACCAATTCTCCTTGGCAGGTACTTGAACTCTTGGTGCCTCAGTTTCTACATCTATAAAATGGGGATGATAATAACTAGGTCATGGGAGCTGGGAGGGTGAACTGAAGTGATGTATGTTATTGTTTAGAGTGCTGCCTGACACCCGGCTGCTATTTGTATGCTGTCATTCTTGTTATTTTCAGAGTATTTCACACTTGTATGAAATATCCACAGAGGCATGTAATGGAGAGTCTCCTCTGGGGGCAGGCAAGATGTCAGTCATCCCTCATCCTAGCCCTTCCCTCCCCTCACCACCCTCAACCCTTCTTGAAGGTCACACTAGGCTGGTTCTGTCCCAGCCCCCAAGAACTTCCCTGCCACTGCCTGACCCCACCTTGAAGCTGCCCAGTGGCCCTGACAGATGAATGGCATCTCCCGGGGCCGCACCCGGCATGTGGTCATCCTGCCTCTGCCTGCGGCAGGGCCTGGAGCCCGGACGTGCCTGGCAGGCTGCCAGGGCTTCTTTGGTAGGGCGCCCCGCCACTCCCTCTGGGCCCCTCTATTCTGGGAGCTGTAATTTAGACAGCCTTCCCCGCCCCAATTGCTATCTGTGGCAGCAGTCCCTGTTCCCCAGGGCCCTGCCCACCCCTCCGCGGCTGCCTTTTCATAAACAGCTCCCGGGCTGCCCTGTTATCTTGGGCTCTGTGGCTCTGGGGAGGAGGCCCTGCCACCCTGGAGATACAAAGAATCCCTCCATCCCAGGGAGAAGCTCACCCAGTGCGGACAGAGGTGGGATAAGGCCCTCACCCACCAAAGCTCAATATAGCAGCCCTCAGAACCTGACCCTGAAGTCTGCTGGATGGGGTGGGGTGCAGAGAAGAGGATAGGCTGTCATTTTTCCCCCAACCCCCTGGGGACTGGGTCAGCCGGGGCTGTCTCCTAAAGGCCCTTGCCTCAGCCATGCATGTTCAGCCACAGGCCACAAAATGTATGTGTGTGTCTCTGTGTTGAGGGTATCAATAATAGCAACAAAACTGACGTTTCTAAAATGCAAATGTGCCAATGTTTCTAAAATGCAAATGTGCCTGGGGGAGGCTGAGGGGAGAGCATCTCTTGAGACCAGGAGCTCAAGACCAGCCTGTGCAACATAGCAAGACTCCATCTCTACAAAAAAAAATTAAAAATTAGCTGGGTATGGTGACCAATTAGACCTAGCTACCTGGGAGGCTGAGCGGAAAGGACTGCTTGAGCCAGCAAGGTCAAGGCTGCAGTGAGTTGAGATTGTGCCACTGCACTCCAGCTTGGGCAACAGAGCTAGACCGTGTCTCAAAAATAAAATAAAACATAGGCCAGGTGCAGTGGCTCACACCTGTAATCCTAGCACTTTAGGAGGCCGAGGTGGGTGGATCACTTGAGGTCAGGAGTTCAAGAGCAGCCTGGGCAACATGGTGAAACCCCGGCTCTACTAAAAATACAGACAAATTAGCCCGGTGTGGTGGTAGGCACCTGTAATCTCAGTTACTTGGGAGGCTGAGGCAGGAGGATCACTTGAACCTAGGAGGCGGAGGCTGCAGTGAGCTGAGATCCTGCTACTACTGCACTCCAGCTTGGGCGACACAGGAAGACTCCGACTCAAAAAAATCAAAATCAAAGTAAAATAAAATGCAAATGAGATTGTGTCACTCTCTGACTCCAGACCTTCAGTGTTTCCCCACAGCCCTTATGGATGAAGCTCAAAAGACCCTCCACGCTCTGCCTTTTCTACCACTTCTCTCACCTCAGTGCCTTGGCACGAGCTTCCCCGGCCCTGCCTGGACTTTGTTCTCCTCTTCACGTAACTCCTGTTCATCCTGCAGGTCTCAGCTTATAAGTCATTGCTCATGGAACCCTCCTGTGACATCACAGACACTCCCTCCCTGTTCCTCCCTTTGGACTGGGATGGGTGTCCCTCCTGAGTTCACCAGAAGCACCACGCCCTTGCCTGTGCACTGCTCTACCTGCTGCCAGCTATAAGTGCTCCCAGGGCTGAAACTTCCTCTTACTGTTATTTTTCAGTCCCTAGCCCAGTCCTGGTACACAGTAGGTTTTCCAAATATATTTGTTGGAAGAATGTGCGAATGAATACATGAATGACTCCTCTGGCCCTCCAGGATGTGTGGGTGTCTTGGGAGGTATTTGACTACTTTGTGCCTTCCGTTTTCTGTTCTTTTTTTTTTTTTTTTTTTGAGACAGAGTCTCACTCTGTCGCTCAGGCTGGAGTGCAGCGGTTCGATCTTGGCTCACTGCACGCTCTGCCTTCTGGGTTCATGCCATTCTCCTGCCTCAGCCTCCCAAGTAGCTGGGACTACAGGCGCCTGCCACCATGCCTGGCTAATTTTTTGTATTTTTTAGTAGAGACGGGGTTTCACTGTGTTAGCCAGGAAGGTCTTCATCTCCTGACCTTGTGATCCGCCCTCCTTGGCCTCCCAAAGTGCTGGGATTACAGGCGTGAGCCACCACACCCAGCCTATTTTCTTTCTTTCTTTCTTTCTTTCTTTCTTTTTTTTTTTTGAGGCAGAGTGTCCCTGTGTCACTCAGGCTGGAGTGCAGTGACACAATCTCGGCTCACTGCAACCTCTGCCTCCTGGGTTCAAGTGATTCTCCTGACTCAGCCTCCCAAGTAACTAGGACTACAGTCACGTGCCACCACTCCCAGCTAATTTTTGTATTTTTAGTAGAGACAGGGTCTCGCCATTTGGTCAGGCTGGTCTTGAACTCCTGACCTCAAGTGATCCGCCCGCCTCGGCCTCCCAAAAGTGCTGGGATTACAGGCATAAGCCACAGCACTCGGCCATGCCTTCCATTTTCTAGGAAAGTCCAGATGTTCCTTCGTCCTCTAAGTATAACTTCAGGCTTGCTGCACTGTCTGTCCACCTTAATCTGGTCATTATGGTTGCTATCGCCATGAGTCTGCTAGCGGGGAGCCCCAGCGGGCTCTGAGGATGCGCTCTAGGACAAAGCAGGCATCCTTAGGTTGAGGGGGAGAAGGGCATAGGAGGAGGGCGTCCTCAGGCCGTGGGTCACTTACAAGCAACAAGTCTGTTACCAGGAGGGAAGACGAGCCAAATGGACAGGTCGGGTCCTTATTTTGGCATTTTCTGCTGTGCTATAGAGACACGCTTTGTATTTTGTTTGCTCCAAAGAGGGAAAACAGAAATAACAACCTACAACTACAGCCACTCAGCTGGAGTTAAATTGTTTACCAGTTATCCCAATAACTGTTGGAAGACCTCTGAAATGTCAGTATTCCTGCATGCAAACTACAATTTCTGTGGTGCCAGCTACTCAGGAGGCTGAGGCAGGAGAATCACTTGAACCTAGGAGGCAGAGGTTGCAGTGAGCCGAGATTGCACCACTGCACTCTAGCCTGGGCGACTGAGTAAGATTCCATCTCAAAAAATAAAAGTAAAAATAAATAAAAAATTAGCTCAGCGTGGTGGCGTGTGCCTGTAGTCCCAGATACTTGGGGGGTGAGGCAGGAGAGGATGGCTTAAGCCTGGGAGGTGGAGGGTGCAGTGAGCCAAGATTGAGCCACTGCACTCCAGCCTGGGTGACAAAGTAAGACCCTGTCTCTAAGTAAATAAATAAATAAATAAATAAATAAATAAATAAAGCCTCCCTCATGTCTACCCCATTTCCCTGCTTTAATTTTCTCCAAAACACTTACTGCTCTCTAAGACACTGGGGTTTTTGTAGGGTTTTTTTTTTTCTTTTTTTTTTCTTTTTTTTGCGAGATGGAGTCTTGCTCTGTTGCCCAGGCTGGAGTGAAGTGGCGTGATCTCGGCTCACTGCAACCTCCACCTCCCGGGTTGAAGCAATTCTCCTGCCTCAGTCTCCCGAGTAGCTGGGATTACAGATGCCTGCCACAACGCCCAGCTAATTTTTGTATGCTAATTTTTGTATTTTTAGTAGAGACGGGAGTTCACCATGTTGGCCAGGCTGATCTTGAACTCCTGACCTCCTGATCTTCCCGCTTCAGCCTCCCAAAGTGCTGGGATTACAGGCGTGAGCCACCATGCCCAGCCAAGGGTTTTGTTGTGTTTTGTTTTCTTGAGATGGAGTTTTGCTTTCATTGCCCAGGCTGGAGTGCAATGGCGTGATCTTGGCTCACCGCAACCTCGGCCTCCTTTTCAAGCGATTCTCCTGCCTCAGTTTCCCGGTGTACAGGCATGCACCACCACACCTGGCTAATTTTGTATTTTTAGTAGAGACGGGGTTTCTCCATGTTGGTCAGGCTGGTCTCAAACTCCTGACCTCAGGTGATCTGTCCACCTCGGCCTCCCAAAGTGCTGGGATTACAGACGCGAGCCACCGCGCACAGCCGGAGTTTTTTTTTTTTTTTTTTTTTTTTAAACTTACTTCTTGTGTTCACTGTCTGCCTTCTCCATAAGCCCTGTCAATTTTGCTTACTGATATATCCCTGATTTAGTTTTTTTTTTTCTTTTCTTTCCTTATTTTGAGACAGAGTTTTGCTCTTGTTGCCCAGGCTGGAGTGCAGTGATCTCTACCTCCTGGGTTCAAGTGATTCTCCTGCCTCAGCCTCCCAGGTAGCTGGGATTACAGGTGCCTATCACCACACCCAGCTAAATTTTGTATTTTCAGTAGAGATGAGGTTTCACAATGTTGGCCAGGCTGGTCTCAACCTCCTGACCTCAGGTGATCCGCCCGCCTCGGCCTCCCAAAGTGCTGGTGTTACAGGCGTGAGCCACCGCGCCAGGCCTGCCCTCCTAATTTTTAAAAAACTTTTTTACAGAGATGGAGGGTCTCACTGTGTTGCCCAAGCTGGTCTCGAGCTCCTGCGCTTAAGTGATCCTCTAAGCCTCAGTCTCTCAAAGTGCTGGGATTTGGGAACTCACAGGCGTGAGCCACCATACCTGGCTAGTTTTCTATTTCTATGTAACAAATTACCCTCAAAACTTAGCAGCCTATAACACCAAGCATTTATTGTCTCCCACAGCTTCTGCAAGCAGGGTCCTCATGAGGTTGCAGTCATCTCAAGGCCTGACCAGGGCTGGAGGGTTGACCTGGCTGTGTCCAGGCTCACATGTTGACCTGACCAGGGCTGGAGCCTGACCAGGCTGTGTCCAGGCTCACTCATGTGGTGGTTGGCAGGCCCAAGTTCCTCACTGGCTATTGGCAGGGGCTTTGGCTCCTTCCCATGTGGGCCTCTCTATAGGGCTGCAAACACCGTGGCAGCTTGTTTCCCCCAGAGCGGGCAACCAAAGAAGAGGGAGGGCAAGAGAGTGAGACAGCATCCAAAACAGAAGCCACAGTCTCTCATAACCTAACGTTGGAAGTAATGGTCCTTTGCTTCCCGGTTCTGCCGGCAGGGGACTACGCAAGGATGCAGACATCAGGAGGTGGGCAGCATCAGGCCATCTTGGAAGCTGGTCACCACAGTCCCCTACACACACCTGGCACATAGAAGATTCTCAAGAAACATTGCAGGGCGCAGTGACTCACGCCTGTAATCCCAGCACTTTGGGAGGCCGAGGTGGGCGGATCACTTGGGGTCAGAAGTTTTGTTTTGTTTTGTGTTGTTTTTTTTGAGACGGAGTCTCGCTCTGTCACCCAGGCTGGAGTGCAGTGGCCGGATCTCAGCTCACTGCAAGCTCCGCCTCCCGGGTTCA